GATGAAGATGAGCCAACTCATAATGATTCTAGATTTCCAGAAACACTTCTCTCCCATACCAGCTTGTTTATTGCTCTCCTAGTCACACCTCTTGAGGCCAGACAGCCTTTGGTTCATATCAATATTGGGCTGGAATTACCATTACTTCCTCTGCTTACTAAAAAGATATGTAATATACATGGATGAGCGCTATGAAATGCATGCACAAGAGCAGTTGAACACCGAATTATCCCCGAGCAACAAGAAATCACCTTGAATGAAGAGCATTCCACTTTTGCAATTGTTTCAGTGTTGAGAGGTGGGAGGGTGGGAAGGCAGGGTAGTTTGGGTTGACCATCGTGAATGACTAAAACAAACTCTGCCAGGCTTTGAACTAAGATCGGTCTTGACCTTTGGTGCACAGCAGCAGTTCTGTGACTCAGTGGTAAAATACTCTGTGTCCATTCAGGATTGCTCCGGCATGGTACAATCCTCAGTGATGCGTTATTTTTGGGCTTCTGATTTAACTAGGGCTCCTCTTATTTGGGGAACTGATTATACAATGTGAGTCTTTCTTGTGGTCTGGTTGCTTTTCATCATGTCTGAGATCCTCAGTGGAGAAGCCTGGGGCATGCAAAAGTTTGGATGGCTCTAGCTGCCATTTGGGGAACCATTCTTTGTGCCATTTCAGTGAGTCAGGTCAGGATTTTCTGTCAATACTCTCCACTCACTGCACATAATGAGACCCCAGCAAAGCACTTGTCACTGACAAGCGCTTAATTCTGACAGTTTAGTTTTTAGGACAGCACGCAAAGTCATGTTTTATGTAGCACTGCGTTTTTTTTTTTTTCATCCCTTCCCTCTAACTTCCTCTCCCTTTGAGGCGGGAACCCAGCTGCAGAGCCAGCAATATCCCTTGCCTCTTCTTTCTTTCTCAGCTGTCCTGGCCCTCACTACGTAATCCAGCCTGGTTTAGAACTTGAGGCGATGCTCCTGGCTCTACTTCCCATGTGCTGAGATTACACACTTGAGATAACACTACTGCTGCACTATGGCATGCGTGAGAATTTTAATGTAATTGGCTCCCATAAACTCCTTTCTTCTTTCCTTCTTTCCTCCCTCCCTCCCTCCGTCCCTTCGTTCCTTTCTTCTGTTCATGTGTATATGTGTATTCAGTGCTACAGTAACTGTGGGAGGGAAGAGACTAACTAAGGGAAGCCAGTTTTTTCCTGCTGTGTGGCTTCTGAGGATTGAACTTGGTGGAACTCAGGGTGCCAGGCTTGGCAGCAAGCACCTTTACCCACAGAGCCATCTCCCTGGTCCAAATCTGGCTTATTTTGTTTAAAATAACAATTTCCATTTTCACCTGTTCTCCTGCAAGTGTCACGATTTCATTTTTTTTTCTTTATGGTTTCAGAAAATTCCATTGCACGTTCATCTATTGATAAACACCTAGGCTGGTTCCACTTCCAGGATGTTGTGAATGGCGCAGCAGTGAACATGGAAGGTGGAGTATCTCTATGGTATATTGATTTAGAGTCTTTTAGGTATATAACTAGGAACGGTAAGCTGGATCATATGATAGTTCCAGTTTTATTATTTTTTGAGAAACTTTGATATGGATCTCCACAGGGTACACACATTTACATTCTCACCAGCAGTTAATAAAGATTCCTCTTTCCCTGGACCCTCACTGACATTTGTTGTAATTTTGTTTCCTTGGTGATAGGTAATCTCACTGGAAGCCTAACTGGAGTTACAAGAAGTCGTGAGCTGTCCATGTGGGTGCTGGGAATCGAACCCAGGGCTTCTCAAGAACGGTCAGTACTTATAATGACTGAACCCTTAATCTCATTTTTAAATAATTTCCTTTTGTTTATAATGTTTTAGTGGATCTCATTGCACAAACACTTATGTTTTAGTGGCTGCTGTAGACATTACACTATATACACATAACTGCAATGGGCTGGTGGCCACTGATGTGGCAGGAGATGAGGGACTGGCAGGCAGTGAATGAATACAGCCTTGGGAGAGAATAGGAAGAATGGTTTTGTAAACACGGCCAGAGGACATTAGTCTGGGCGTTAACTAGAGGATTGACTGCAGCCCAAAGATGGAGCTTTTAAAGAGGCAAATATACTAAAATAATGCCCCTACTCGGGCTGTAATCCACTAAGACTAGTGTTTTTACATGAAGAAGAGATTAGGACACAGATACACAAATGGGGGAAGACACAGGAACAAGAGGGCCATCTGCACACAAGGAAGGAGCCCTGGGAAGACACAGGAACAAGAGGGCCATCTGCACACAAGGAAGGAGCCCTGGGAAGACACACGAACAAGAGGGCCATCTGCACACAAGGAAGGAGCCCTGGGAAGACACCACTTTGCCAGCACCTGGATCTTGTATTCACAGCCTTCAACCCTGAGAGGAAATAAGCTTTTGCAGCTCATACCATTCACTATCGGTATGTTGCTATGGCAGCTCTTGCAAATTCATAGACATCGGTAAGAAATGCTGTGAGCTGAGTGGTTCTGTCCTTTGCTTTAAGTAGCACTGAAATCTGCTTGGATCCTGTGCATGATGCCCATTGAAAGGACCATGCATCTGAAAGTACTCCAAAGACTGAACAGTATTTAGGCAGTCTCCACTGTGTCGATCTTGATAGGACTAAATTTCCTCAAAGTGTTTAGCTATGGAAACAAAACATAGATAGTAAAGTCTAGCCTTGAACTTACAGCAGAAACCAGTTTAGAACTAATGAAATTGTTGTTTCAACAAGAAGTAACCCAGCACTTCAGAATGAATAATGTCTACAACATTGCAAGGCACATTTAATGTCTTTGATCACTGTGCACCATTTATTATTTGTAAGTGAACTCAACCAAAACTTATCATTGTAAATGCTACTGAACACATTTTAATTGCAAATTATAATTTTAGTGTTTTTCTTCAGAGAAAAAAAACAAAGAAAAAAACCTTACAATGTAAAATTACTATGTTAAAGTAAAATTCAGTATGAAAAAAGAAAGGTTGGAAAGTTACAGGGACAGAGAAAATGTAACACTGGAAAAAATGTCTTCCTGTGGAAGAGCCTACTTTAGCTTTTTCTAAATAGATTCTGGTGTCACATTACTACGCCATTGGCATCCCATTGGAAACACTTAGCAGAATGATGTAATGGTTTTATTTAAAATGCCAGTATTTACAGTGATCTAGAGCTTACATCATTTCCAATTTTTAAAACTAAGAGTGAAAAACTGAGATGGCAATTAGAAAATACAACAGAGTCCACAATTCAATGACTTCTTTATATGTATAATAAGTGGAATGGTCCAAAGAACACTGATAATGAACTATGGGATGGCTGGTTCATAAAATACACTTATCGTCAACTTTCTATGACAACTGTACTGAGGTATAGTTCCCAGGAGATAAAGTGAGATTCTTTTTGCTCTGACTTCATCAATTTACAGGCTTGCCAATTGTTACCTAACATGCATAAGTATACACTGATTTCTTATTATGCTTTTAACTTGCATCTCTCTAGTTATTAGTTAAATTAAGTATCTTTTTATGCATTTACCAGCCACATGAGTTCCTTTTTATATAAAAGAGCCTATTCAAGCTCTTGTCTAATTATTTTCTCTTTAGGTCGTTTGAGATTTTTTTTTATTATTATTACTTTTAAAGAACTTTCAAGAAAACTCTTTTGAATCTTCACCAATGATTGGGTGTGAGCAGTGGCCCAGGACTCTTCATGACACTTTATACTCCTCCTTTCTAGCATGTCACATGCACCCTTTCTTTTTTATCTGCTGACAACCTGTACTGGACTTCAATATTATTGTCATCATTTGTTCCAATCTATGTAATTGAGAAATGCATATAATAATAGCCTTCACCAGAGTTGGGCATTTAGCTCAGTGGTAGAGTGTTTGCCTAGCAAGCTCAAGGCCCTGGGTTCGGTCCTCAGCTCTCGAAAAAAAAATTAGCCTTCACATACACACACACACACACACACATACACACACACACACACACACACACACACACACACACACACACACACGTTACCCCTCCCACTGGTTTAATCTCCTAAATAAAAAAAATGTAGTTACATTGTGTGTGTGTGTGTGTGTGTGTGTGTGTGTGTGTACATGAGCATGGCCTGGCACACGTACAGAGTTCAGAGGACAACTTGCAGGCATTGGATATCCTTCCACCATCTGTGTCTAAGGGATCAGATTTAGGCAGTCAGGCTTGTGGCAAGCAGTTTTGCCCACTGTGCCATCCCAAACACTGGCAATTGTTTCCTCGTTTTTCCTACTTAACCAGAAACCATACTAAACATTTGCTTTTGGAGTCCAGCCCCATGTGCATGAGCAGTAGGGTGTTTGTTTGGCATGCTTGACGCTGTGATTTCAGTTCCAAACATAAACAAAGAATACAGCTTTCTAGTCTATTTTCAAAGCCAATGTTCCTGATTCTGTCTATATGGTGTTCAGTGTGTCTAATACTGCTATCTTTCAGATGTTTGAATGTATTATGAGAGTTCTGAGATAATGAGTGTTAATGTAAAGAGACACAAAAGGGATGTGAAAAGTTTAAATTTTAATTGAAAGAGAATTCCGAAAAATTGTCATTTAATATAATTTATTAGTAAAAATGAATATGTACACTGATTTTATATATATATGTGTGTGTGTGTGTGTGTGTGTGTGGCTATTCAGAAAGCTATACAAAATGTTTTGGGATTTGTTTTGAAGAAGGCAGTTGCCAATGACAAATCATTAATGTCTCCCTATGGAAAATGTTATGAGAAAATTGGAAGTTTATGAATCAAATCATTCTTTATCTATATGTAAATATATGAAATAAGTGTAATTGGAATAGTATAATTGAGGGTGCAAAACAGTTTTGTCAAAGGGAGTAATTTGTTATCTTCCTCCAAATACTGTCCAATCTATTTTAGGGTCATCATGACACAAACGCAGAAGAAACAAAGAAGACAAGAGAATTAAAAACATATAATGTTTTATTGTAAAAAATAGACAGACTTGAACTTTTTTAACAAGAATATCATTGTAGGCGCCTCCTTAAGCCATCATCACTTTGTCACTGAAACAGGCAAGAGAGCCACTAACAGCTGCTAGTGGGAAAAGGATCTATGTCCATGCCTGAGAAGCCTTGGCATCCTTCCAGGTGGTGTCTCAAAAGAGCTGTGGAAACACAGTGACCTTCAGACCCCTGCACATCAGCAAGCCTACAAAACAACAGGGATTTGCCTATTGTCCCAGTCTGTCAAGACTGGCTTTGTAGTGCCTTCCCAAGCATCCAAAGTACACAATTTGTCAGAACACCTGCTCATTGGAACAGTGATGTCTTAGGTCACCTGTAGGATCAGTAACTGCATCAGGCTTGTTTGTGTAAGGCCAGGGTGAAGATATCTGTCTCAGCCATGCTGGTGTCTGAGGTATATGAACTTGTACGAAAGGCTTGGGCAGAACTGAATATACACCTTTCCATGACCCAAGGATGAAAAGACCTTGCTGAACAGAGCAGAGTTATGTGGAGGGTAAATTACCTCATGGCCATAAAAAACAGAAACTCGTTTAGTTACTCAGAATAAGACAAAAACCAATGGAACAAAGCATTTATTCTTTCCTAGGAGTGGGTGTGTAGGGTGGGCAGAGGCTGGATGTGTGCACTGGTTGTCTTAAGTTATTATACGATTTTCACATCTAGTCTGTAGTAGCAACAACATCTCAAAGTCAAACCAGGTTCTGCAAATATAAACACACTGACAATTAAAAATAAGTGTGAAGTTAAGGAAAGGTGGTCCTGTTCTCAGAAGAGGCCAGAGATGAGCTACCATTGATGTGGTGAGATGCCTCCCTGGGGACTAAGCATCTTAATGGTATAAAGTAGTAATGTTGTCAAGTGGACCCGAATGGGACAGGGTCTGAGTTACCCCTCTCCATCTTCATAGATGGGCAATCACCATTTGCTCAGTCCAATCAACTACATGCCAGAAAGGCCAACATGCTATCTCTCTTTCTCTAATTAAAGAAGATACAAAAAAATGCCAACATTCAACAGTTGAGAACCAGGAAAACTGAGTTGACGTGATACTACAGACATTGAAAGTAATCCTGTAATCATTAAAATACAATGGAAGCTGTTTGTCTCTTGGGCATGGGTGTGGGGAGAACACTAAGCAGAGAGGCCATGCTCTTGCTACTGTGATATTTATTTGCTCTTATGTAAGGTGATGTTTTAATTAAGCTCATCAATTTAACTGTACCCTCTTATGTAAGAACTCTTCAAATCTAAATAGGAAGCTGGTGGTATGGACCTCTGTATATTTTGATGGGCTGGACATCATCTGGTAAGATCGTGCCATTGAGAAGATCACGGTGAGAGCAGAGGAGAGAGAGAGAGAGAGAGAGAGAGAGAGAGAGAGAGAGAGAGAGAGAGAGAGAGAGAGAGAGAGAGAGCCTTTGAAGTAGGTTGCTATGGGTGAGAAATCCAGAAGGAAGATGGCCTAAATCTGGGAGTTCTTGGTGAGGGCAGGCAGGCAAACTACAAATGACTGACTGAATAGCTTCAGAGGTTTATTATCCACTCATTAGGGAACTTTAATTGTTTTTTCCTCCTTAGCACTCTTCAATGACTGTCGTTCCAATCAGAGAGTACAGTTTTTTCTTAACAAGTCGAAATCCTGAGCTGAGGATCAGAGTTCGCCTAAGGCCCGACGAGAAGCGACCTCTGCTAAAGAAGAAGTCCCTGAGGCCTGTCCATGAGCAGTTCTCCTGCTTAAACACGAGTGTCAGCTCAAAAGTCGGCACCACACTAGCATCACACACAATCCTATCCAGCTTTTTACATACGTTTTCAATTTCCAAGTTCACGTGCAAAACACAACCCCGAAGGCCACAGGGCTCTGTGGAGGAGAGCCGCAGGACATCTTGCGCAATTCTCTGGGTCAGTTTCTCAGGGACCAAGACCTTGGAGCAACCGAGTTTGGTTTGCTTTGATTTGGATAGACAGTTTTCCAACATCTTAACCAAATTCTGGCACGTTGTCTCTTCAAATACCACCTCGTTGAGGTTGGGCTCAGGGACAACATAATCCCAGTAGTCGAAATCTGAAAGAAATGAACACTTTAGAGGAGAGAGAAACAGTGTCTTCCTGGCATTAATAAAGCCTGGCCACTTCCAGCTTATGTATCTAAGTGCTTTGGGTACAGCTGTGAGAGTTAGCATACCTCCCTTTGAGTTAGCGTACCTCATTTTGCTCTTAACCAACAGGCAATAAGACAAGTCTTTAATCTCTCAAGACTGAAAGATTATCTGTGCACTCAAGACTGTGATGAACACACTGACTAGGTTAAAACAACTTTTTTAAAATTTCTATGTTTACTCATAGTCTTAAGGATCGTGAAGCAAAAATCTATCCATGGTTGTCCAAGATTACTAGTTATTTCCTTTCTTGCTTGCCCTCTCTGTAGGGTTTTCCAAGTTTATTTTAGTGTTCTTGCAGAGAACACGCAGAACATCTGGAATTTAATCATTACTTTTGCTTCACAAAGCGACTGTCAGTGTGTAGGTATTAAGACATAGAATGATTGCAAGTGTTTGTGAATAAGTCCATCTCAGGACCAAAGATCCACCAACTTTTTCTTTTTTTTTAAAAGTCTTTGCTAGGATGGCCTGAAGGTCCAATTTTAGCTTTGAGCTGTTTGATTAAAGATTGCTCACAGAGGAGAGGACCTTTGAGGTTCATGGGGTTATTTATAACTGGGCTGGGTAGGTTTTTCTTAGCTGAGCAAAACAAAACAAACCCAGGAAAACAAAGTTAGGTTTGCTCAGAGGAAAAAAAAAAAAGATAGCTCTGCATTTGGTCACCTACCTTCCAAATTAATCCTACCACTTGGCAGGGTGCCACACCACATAGTGGCCTCAAACCTCTACCTGCTTTCTACTGCATGTATTCACTTAGGTCACTGTTTTTTTTTTAAACTAATATCTTCCAAATCATATCTGTATTTTACCTATGTTATAGCTACATTGCAGGCAGACAATTTTAGAGTTTTGTACTCTAGCACTACCTTAATTTTATCTTACAAATGAGGAAGATCTAAAGAGATTAAGCAGTTTAATCTATATCCACACCACCATTCTTTGATAGTAGAGTAGCCTGTTAAATTAGAAACTGCTATTCAAAGTTGCAAATGATTATTTGTGTGGGACTAGGGCTATTAAACTGTCCTTCTGACACAGTATGGAATAGTGGGTTTATTTCATAGTAGAATCTTACTTAGTTATGAAAAGGCGCACATTAACAGGGAAGGATCTAGCTCCAAAATATTAAGCTGTGGGAAAGCAAACTGAATTCAGAAGAACACATATTGCATTATTATCTAACACTCTAAAAGCAAAACTAACATAGTAACAAAACGCTGAAAGATGGTTCTCTGGGGACGAGGGAAAAGAGGGAATAGATGGTAGAGAAGAATTTGGGAGTAAAATGTGGTGGTGTTGGTTACACAAGTAACCATGTCTTAAAACACACCCAGCTGGGCACTTAATGTCCCAACCATAAGGAATAGAGAACTTCATTCCCCAGGATCCTGTTAGCAGACTAGAACAACGCAATATTCTCATTATGTTTGTTTCTGGTAGGCAGACGATGCTCAGGAAGTTTAGAAAGACATCTCAGATGGATTTCATAGTCTTCTCTATCTAGGAGGGAATGAGGTCTAGCGCGCGCTCAGGCAGGGACGCCTACACTATCTAGAGAGGGGCCGCAACCTTCGGATAGGAGAGAGGTGGACAGCCGGGCGACTCACCACTTAGCAGACTCCCAGGGTGATAGCCACCGTCCAGCAACTCTGAAATGCTGGCCGGGTTCTTACTGCTCAAACTGCCCGTTGCAACCATGGTCAACGGCTCTGTTTCCCTCGCGGAGCAGAACGGTTTTCCCCTTAGGCGCTGTGGGGGAAAAAAGTGAGAGAAGTTTGCAAAAGCACACAAGAAGTGCAAAGACTCCTCAGAGTCCCGGCATCGCCAGAGAGAACTAGCCCGGGCACTGCCCTTCCAGAGGGAGGGACCAGCCTTGGTAACTCAAGTTGACAAAGCCCTAGGAGCAGAGACGCCAACTACAGCCAACAGGCTGAAAGAAGCTGGAAAGTTAGCACAACTGGGAAGCGACCCTGCCCACTCACTCCCGCCTCCTCCTGCCGCTCACCTGCAGGGATTTCACCAGATGCTGAGGGGCAAACCGAGGCAGGCGCCCTCAGTAGCCCGATCCTTGGACAGTGGCCCCCCAGCACAGTCCCGCTGCGAGCCGAAGGCTGCGGGCCACCGCGCCCACCAGCACAGGCTGCACCCCGCCGCTCCGCTTCCGGAACAGAGAGCGCTTTATAGGTCCAGCCTCCCTGCCTGGCCGGCACGCCCACCTGCGCCACCCGCCCCGCCCGTGCCCTGGCCCGCCCCTGCCGGGTCAGGTCGCATTCATTTCAGTTGCAGTGAAGGCAGGGGCCCAGGCAAGCCTCTGGGAGTTGAGGATCAGCCACCAGTTGGGCGGATACCTGCTGTTTCCTGGGTAGGCCACTGGTCACCGTGACTGTAATTCACCTAAGGACCCCCTCCCTTTGGCCACTAACCTGGATTCGTTGATGTGAGCTCCTGCACACAGCTTGCGTGCTTCCACGCTCAGGCTGCCCAGGTCTTGGCTAAGGAGCTGTTCAGGCAGGAGGAAGCTCCAAGTCCTGTTAGCCATGACCCGAGGCTTTGCTGTGTCATCCTGAATAAGTCCTTGGCTTAGTTGAGTCGGTATTATGTGAGCATCCTTTATGCTCGTGTTCTAACATCTAACCCATCAGCTCCAGTCCGCACCCAGACTCCGCAGGTGGTCGGATGTGGCAAGGGCTTCTCTGGCTTCAGCTGTACTCAGGAATCAATGGGACATCTTTGAGGATACTACAGATGTGACTAAAACGTTCTCTCTGCGGCCAGGGCGAACCTGGCACCGTTCTAAGACCTGGCCTCTGAAAGCAGAGATCTTGAACTGAAAGGAGGGCAGTGCCAAGAAACTAAACAAAACCACTAATGGGATCTCCGTTGCCTGCTCCACCCGCAGGATAGTTAGGAGCGATTGCCTTTCCCAGAAGCTGAAGTTCCTGGTGTGGGCCTGTTTTGGAAGAAGTTAAGGCTTTGGTCTTCAAGCATGAAAATAAAGTTATCCTGCTGGGATAATGCCCATGACTCTCCCGGGGAGTCCTGGGCAAGAGGGACAGAGGGGATCGCACACCCATAAAAGCAAGATGCCAAACATTTTTCCTAACTCAGTTAGCCACACTATTCCCGCTGCCCTGCTGCCCTATTTGCTAGGCGTGCGTATTCCCAGCTGGGTTGCCAGGGATCAGAAGATGAAGAAACTGCTGAGATACCCGGGGCTGGGGTGCGTTTTGTTCGAGGAGAGGTTCCAGCACCAGTCCCTGCACATCGGGGACTACATGTGCAAGGACCTGCAGGTTAGGGCCTTGAAAAGCAGGATCAGCTGTCCAGGCTAAAGACTCTTCATAAGCAAAACAACAACAGAAGCGGTACAGAGGGCTTGATAAACAGATCGGTGGGAGGACGCTTGCAGGCAGAGCAACAGAAACGAAAGCCGGCCTGAAGGTCCATTTTTAACTCCACTGAAGCAGCTGCCACCACCTCAAGGTCAGGCAGGCCGAGGAAAGAGATGCTGATAGGCTGGGGCAAGCAGAGTTCCACTTCTATTTTAATAACAAAACTGGAAAACAAGCCCATTTAAGCCAGTTAGAAAGGGTTCTGGGGTTAGAGCTGGAAGGTCAGAAGGATGACCCCTGCTCCCAGGTGCCCCTCCAGTCACAAAGCCCCTAGTCCTTATCTCTCAGCCTTGTTAGTAACAGCTGCTTCTTGCCTGCCTCAGGGAAAGTGGTTGGTGTTCTAATAGTAAGAGATCAAAATGGGCACTGGTGAAACGGAGAAAATGCGCATTTCCACTCCTTACGGGGGTTAGACACAATTCTAAATACTTCCGCTGGGACTTCCGCTGGGCCTTCCGCTGGGCCAAAATGATGGAAACCTCTGGGATGTAGTATTTACTCTCGACTCACCTAGCTACAATTTTACATCACCCTTTGGGATTTTACCGGGGAAAATAATTCCCTCATATGCAAAAGATTTCAAATAACCGCATTCTTTTTGCCTGAATGAGTGATGCTCTGAGGAATTAGAGGGCAGAAGGAATCAGTGGTGTAGAGCATACCCCTGCAGTAATCGACAGAGGCTGTCTTCCTTAAGTCCACCTAGGATGATTTAAAACCGTTTTCTATCATCACGTTACATCTTTGCAGCTAAACAGACGACTTAAGAAAATGAAGCACTAAGAAATGAAGCATTTTAAGGATTTCAACAGACTCGAGGGAAACCAAACCCACAGTATTTTTGTCATCAATGATACACTCAAGTTTTTGAAAACGTTGTGGATGTAGTTCATGCATAGCAGAAAACTCATCATTCTGACGTATTCCAGATATTTATCAAAGTGCATTATGTTGTATTACATCGCTAATTTTGTCAATATTCGTGGTGGCACTTGAAAGAAGAACTGTATGTGAATAGAACTGATTAGTTGAATAATTGGCTTGCCTGTCACACCTCAATATATGATAACAAACTATCAAAATCATAAGTAAGGCCTTTCATCTTAAGCAAGCTTACAGTTTTATTCCTGTGATTTCCTCATCTGACATTCAATAAGAAAAGCAGCAATATTAAGTGGCAACCGTAACTGATATGGATGCAAACATTGAAGTTCTGGGCTCCCTTGTGTAAATACAGTGTTCATAATATCAATACTTACATAAAGTATACTTATACAAAGATACTTTAATATGTGATTGAGGAAATGCTGGCATCTGGTGCCTCATGACTTGGAAAGCTCATTACATTTCACCAGCCAAATTTCTCATTTTATTCAGTGTAAGCCATTGCTCCTGAACCGTTGTTAAGACATTCAGTGTGTTGTGTCATTCACTTCATGAGCTGTAACACCCAAGGAAAGTACCTGGGTCCCTAATCTGTACAGCGGATTTCTGAGCAAGCTCATGGGGCCATTTGTCAGGCTGGAAGGTCAAACTCCTTTTACTGATGCTAGTATTACAACTTCTTTGCAAACGATGTGAGAGTTTTCAACGTACACATCTCTGATTTCCTGTGACTGCACTAAATTGGTAAATGAAATGCTGAGGAGTCCTAGTGTTTTAGCTGCTGAGACCAAATCCCTGACTAGAGACAACCTAGGGGAGGAGGGGCCTATTTTGGCTCACAATCTGAAGGAAGACAGCCCATGATGGTAGGGAAGGCATTAGAGGCAGGAATAGGACTCAGGAAGTGGTTAGCAGACCACTTCCAAATTCCAAATCAGCACTATTAGTTGGGGACCAAGTGTTCAGACTCATAAATCTGTGGAATGTCTCAAGGGCTCAGGGAGAGAAGTTACCACTATTGTTGTTCTACTTGTTTTGAAGCTCTAATTCTATGGTTCAGTTTAAGTGCTGCTTGGATTGAAGAAAATTTATGATCTTCACTGTTTGCAAGGTGTCTGGAAAATATTTGCCACTGAATAAGAAATTTAAAAAAATAGAATATATTCATCATGGTGTAAGAAACCAGGCAAGGAGACCTAATGTTATATAAGAAAATAATATGAATATATAAAGTCCTGGGCTGGTGAGATGACTCAGAGGGTAAAGACCCTAGCTGCCAAGTGAGAAGGCCTGAGTTCAATCCCCAGGACCTACCTGGTAGAAAGAGATAACCTACTCACATAGGTTGTCCTCTGATGTCCATGTGTACACCACAGCATACATGAGCATGCACACACACACACACACACACACACACACACACACACACACATACACACACACACACACACATACACACTCACGCACACATACACATACACACACACACACACACACTCACGCACACATACACATATACACACACACACACACACACGCACACATACACATATACACACATACACACACACACACACATACACACACACACACATATACACACATACACACACACACATACACACATACACACACACACACATATACACACACACACACACACACACACATACACATACACACACACACACACACACTCACGCACACACACACACATATACACACACACACACACACTCACGCACACACACACATACACACACACTCACGCACACACACACACACACACACACACACACACACTCACGCACACAAATTAATATGATTAAAAAATTAAAACTTCCCACTGTGATACACTGTTGCATGTATTGACTTTTATAATTGAAGAAACAGTTTTGTAGAAGTAAGTGAAATGTATAGACAACTACGGTTATTGGCTGTAGGATCCTATTATTTTTGTTTTTTTCCTCTGATGATATCATTCATTTTTCACATGTCTTTGAAAAGCTCTAACCAGTAAGGTTTCCATGAAATGATTAAGCATGCAGCACAAGTTATTGTGTATTGTGATATAGAATTTGCACTAGGTAAGTTAACATTAAGTCTTACCTGTTATAAAATAAAATGAGTCCCAATAGAAAATGATATACAGTACCTGCTGTTAAAAGCCATGTCTTACAGTAGGAGGAGGCATTGCAACTCTAAATTTAATCAGAAAAACTGTTACCATAGTGACTTGTTGCTCAAAATAGTTGTATGGTTTTATTCTGGTCATAAACAATGACACATATTATCTCTAAATAAAAACGTGTGATGTGTTTAAATGCATACAAGGTCTGTATTCTCTTATTGTGATTTACAATTTAGGTTTACAATTTAGGTGACTGCTATGAGACAGTGTCAACTGAGAACATGGAGTAGGTCACTGACATTTTTCTAGTGTTATATCTTAAAACTTTTCAAAGTCTCCAACTTGAGAACACCACCATAATACACCACTTTTTCTGGAATTCTCGATAAGGCCTCCAGAATCTACATGCTCACATAGGTATCTACCCTTCAACACTACCCCTCCATGGACCTGCCAAGTGTCCTAACCTAGTGAGTAAGTCTTAGATATCTGCCATCCATATTGTATCCCATTAAAACTACACACTGTGTCATGACAAAAATCTCTGAGGTTGCTGCAGAAGAGGATCAAACCTAACAACTGTGTAGCTGGAGTTTTCCTGCCTGGCCCACAGTCAGGACAAATCTCTATCACCTGCCAGTCCCACAGCCGCTCAAACCCAACCAAGTAAACACAGAGACTTATATTGCTTACAAACTGTATGGCCGTGGCAGGCTTCTTGCTAACTGTTCTTATATCTTAAATTAACCCATTTCTATAAATCTGTACCTTGCCACGTGGCTCGTGGCTTATCGGCATCTTCACATGCTGTTTGTCATGGTGGCAGCTGGCAGTGTCTCTTTGACTCAGACTTCCACTTCCCAGAATTCTCCTCTCTCCTTGTCCCGCCTATACTTCCTGCCTGGCCACTGGCCAATCAGTGTTTTATTTATACAGAACGATATCCACAGCAAAACTGAACCAAAATGTCGAGTAGATACAGGATTCTGTCGGGTGGTCCAAGAGCCATTCTGTAGATGTAAAGCACAGTCTGTGCTTACACAGAGCTGTGTGATTCCACGATGTTCATCTCAGGGTGGAGGACTTAGGTGCATGGACTGTGGAGTCCACCTCCCTAGGTTTGTATCCCAGCAAAGGTATTTGATAGCCTGGTAAATTTGAATAAGGAGCCAGGCATTTCTGTGTTTTACTTTTTAAGACAGGAATTAAAATACACCTTTCCTAATGAGATTATTGTGAGGACTCAGGGAGTGATAACATAATACACTCTATAAAATTAAACCATGATTATAGTGACAAAATTTACTATACTTTTGAAAAAAAAAAACTCCAGTGTTTGGGTGACATGCTTACATCATTGCAGGGAGGCTGCTTATATGAACTCAAGTGTACTTATAAAAATTTTATCATGTGTACATAACAATTCATCTGATGATCAACATTTGAGAATAACTGAGCATTAATTATGATAGGCACTGAAAACACAATAGAATGCCAGATAAATATTATGATTAGAAAAGGAGATGGTAATTAGTACAAGATGATAATTGTATTGGTTCACTCCATTGTTTCTATGACAGAATACCTAAGATTGGGTAATTTATAGGATTTGTTTCCTACAGTTCTGAATTCTGAGAAATCTAGAGTCAGTGGGGGCAGAGTGTGGTAAGGCCCTCCACTGTAATTTTCTGTGCAGAAGGCAGGAAAACAAGACAGCATGCATGAAAGAGGATGAAAAGGAGAATGAAAAGGCAAGGGAGAGAAGAAAGGAGGAGGAGAGGAAATGGAAGAGGGAGAGGGATTGATTCTTCAGTCAGGAGCTTAGTCTCATGATAACTAATCCATTTCTACGATAACTCGTAAGAGTGGAGCCCTCATAACCTAATCACTCCTCAAAGGCCTCTCACTCAATGCTTTTGTGTTAGGGATCAATTTCCAAACTGATGAATTCTGGAGACATATTCAAACCTCAGCAGGGTGAAGAACTTAGAGGTGAAATACGGTACCACAGGAACACTGAGATGTGCACTCTAATGGATTTTTGAAGGAAATTTTGTAGCCTTCCGACTCACTGTGTGTTTTATGGACATCACTTAGGAATTTGCAAGTAATGCACGGTCTCAGGCTTCACCTACATCCACTGAAACAAAAGTCTGCTTTTAAACAAGATCCCAAATGATAGCCGAAGTTTAGGAAGTAGGTGGTTTTAGTTGAAAAGAATAACAAAACCGTTAAAGCAATTTAGAACTCATAAGACAATTTCCAGACCAATTAATAAAAACATTATAAAGCATTTGTTATGTGAAAATGCAGCCTAGAGGTAAGGTAGATCAACTCCCAGCCAGTCATACGTTTGCCGAGTCTCTGTAATCTCAAGTCAGACATAATGCCTCTAATGAATCTAATCCATCTTGTGTGGTTCCTAGCAATTGTGCCTGGCCCATAAAACTACATGCAGCTCTGTGAAGCAGTCTGCTTGTCAGAAAAGACTTTATTATATAAAAATTAAGTCCCATTTTTAATAAACCTGAGGCACCATAACATTCTGAATTACATTCCAACTCAATGAAGTAGAAAGCCACAAGGAAACACACGAAGGGGCTTACACTGGGAAATGTATTTAAAGAAATGGGTCTGTGGCAAGTTGAATTAGAAGCAGCCAATTAGGAGGAAGCAAATTAATACAGAAGGATATACACATCTTATTACTTCTGAATTTACTAGAGCGGGTAAATGCCATTACACATGCAGTTATTTCTTCTGCTGTAATTATATTATGAAATATCTTCTAAAATGTTTGGGATTTGAAAAATGCTTGTGACTAGGACTGTTTTATGGGTGGTATATACTGTGGTAGGGGAGATAAATCATACAGGCTGAAGCTGCCTGTTAGATGTTAATGGGGCTCTAAGCATGCTGAAGGACATTTGGTTATATAACATTATTGATGGATCATTTCTGAGTTGACCAATAATTGGTACTGAGCAAATTAATTTATGGGATTTCTTAAGTACTAGGGAGTTGGCTCAGGTGTCTGTGTGCTAAAAGCTTATGAAGCAGAGCTCATTTGTGTGTGAGCAGCACACCCTGAGGATTTGTCTTTAGACTAACTCAATTAGGCCTTCAGAGTCCAGCTCTTTGGTAAGTAGGCATTGTGACACTAACTTAGATCCTTTGCACTGGAGTTTCTTCATTTGTCCTGTGGAAGATGAAAGGGCACAATAGGCATTGAGTTTGTGCTAATGAAGCTGGTACAGGTCAACTCAGCCAGAGGTGCTTGTTCTAAGTATACCCAGCAATGTGAGTTAGCACATGTGAATGCATACGATCCTACTGAAGTAGAGGCTCCACCGAAGCACAGGAAGACCTTAGGAATGAGGCAGACTGCTCATTTGTGGAAAAGATTCTTGTCATTTCTGAGAAACGGCAGAAATACCCAGATGTGAAGTCATGCTGAAGACAAGGACGATGATCACCTCAGCTGTAGCCTTGGGTGGCCAATGACTGGAGCATGGTTTCCATCGCTGTCCCACCCCCTCCCCTCAGTGTTACCAGGACTTGAAGTCCTGGATGTGCACTGGCTTCATCTCCTGCGGAAAGGCTGTTAACAGAGAAGAAGGTGTGCCATTTAATTTACATAGTCCACAGAAAACAAAAACCAAGGATCAGCAAATAAACAGCAACTAAGAAAGCAGCAACATTGGTTTATTACTCAACCGCCTGTGAACTAAGATTGAGAGTATTTATATCTATTCACCAACATAACACTTATGAAAAAGATACATAAAATATCTTACTTCAAATCAATTCATATGTTTTAAAGCTGCTTTCTTGGAAGCTCTACTTAAGAAAAATCTAGAGCTAATTTAAAAGTTGCTTACATATTATACTTTTTGATTTGTTTTTTGTTGAAAAATTTGCTGTCTACAAAAAATGATATATGAAATATTTCTCTAAAAGTGTTTTAATGTGTATTTTAATGTGTATTTAATTTAAAATATATAAATCTGGAGCACTTTTGTATTTTCTAAATCAGGGAACTGTTATAGATAAAACTAAAAAGACACAAACATTGTATATACTTATGAACATGGAACCTAAAAAGTGTAACAGTAAAATGCTTTTAAGTAATTTTACATATATATACACACACATATATATGTGCCACTACCGCCTGGTGATTTTTATACTTTTATAATGCAAGTTGCTCAGGGGAGTATTAACTGAAGGAGTCTAGAAAACTCAGACTATAATAAAAAGAGTAGTAAAGAATTAATGAATGGCCAATTTTCCAGATGCAAGGTAAAAATAAGTTATACTATCACCTGATTAAAAACCACATTCTTCCTTCTGTCTCTCTCCTGTGCCGCCAACCATTAGGGAATCACCTTTGCTGGTTTTCCTGAATCCTCCTCACATATGGAAATAAAAGCACATATTAACACATATGCATTGCCATTTCCATTCTTTTTTAGGGCTTACATATGTGTATATGTTCGTGTATAAAGTTCATATATGTACTGGTGTGTGTGTGTGTGTGTGTGTGTGTGTGTGTGTGTGTGTGCGCGCGCGTGCGCGCGCGTGTGGAGACCAGAGGTCAACTCCAGTCACTGTCTACCCGTTTTTGAATCTGGGTCTGTCACTAGCCTGAGACCTGCTGGTCAGCTTGGGCTTGCTAGTGAGCCCCAGGGATCAGCTTGTCTCAGCACCTCATGTCATTTTTTAAACTGAGTGCAGTTAAGAGCCTCATGCCTCCTGTTGTGGATGTTGCTACAGAGTATGAGGTGTGTGTCGTGTGTGTCCATGTGTGTGTGTGTGTGTGTGTACAATTACACACTGGTGAAAATTCTAGTTCTGTCAGGTCTGTCTGATTCAATAGCCACTGAACACACTGTGACAATGGGTACTCTACAATGCAACTGATTCAGCGAGAAAGACATGGAAAGCACACACCAGCTTTCAAAGATTTAGAGAATACGAAGATTGCAAAATATCATATTAATGGTTTTGGTCACATTGAAATGGTAAAATATTGGACCTATTGTGTTAAATAAAATATATTTCTAAAACTGATCTCACCTGTATCTTCATGTGCCTACTAAAAGCATGGCTACTAAAACGTAAAATTTCACAGATGCTCTACTGTTTGGCTCACATTTAGAAGTATAGG